GGGGGAGAGGTCAGGGGGTGCTGGAGCATGAGGGGTGCGCAGGCTGTCAGCCTGGGCTGGGGCCAGGATGGGACACATGGGCTGCGACTTGGGCACAGGACTGATGTGCTCACCCTGGCCTTCCTTTCCTGGCCATCTTGTACCACCTGCTGCCATTCCCACCTTCCTGGCCACTAAGCCCCATTCTGCCTCCTTCTCACCTCCCCAGTTTCACTCAGGCCCAGCTCAGCAGTCCCCCCTTTTGGAAGCCCCTCTATATCCCCTGCACAACACTTGTCACACAGAGTGAGATGTCCTTGTGCAATCAACCTGCTGTTGTGTGTCCTCTCACCAAGGAGTGACATTTCCCCGCCCAGGGGGCTGGGTCCCCAATGCCGAGACCAGGCACTTGCCAATGGTTGTGTTGGTGCCGATCTCCTCCAGCAGGGTCTCGCAAGCAGCCGACTTCTCCGCCAGCACGATCTTCTGTTCGGCCAGCTTCTGATTCAGCTCGTCCAGCTGGATGGTGGCCTCCTTCAGCTTGTCCAGCCCACCCTCCAAGCGCTTGCACTGAGCTGCAAAGACAGAGTGGCCACGTGTCACCATGAGGTGGCACTTCTTTCGGAAACACCAGGCCGCCCTGTGGTCTGTCCGACTTGTGCTCATAGAAAACAAAAACAAACACAAGAGAATCATTTCTATGTCATGTGTGAGGGGACATGATCTTTTAACTCCATGTTTCTTTCCACAAACTTTTTGAAGCCCCTTTCTTTGAATAATTCAGTGCCTTCAAGACAGGATGATATTGGTCAAATTAAGATTTTTCTGAAAACGGTGCTGCTCTTGGCTCCCAAAGAAAAAGCAGACCAGCTGCCACGGAGTTGATTCTGACTCACAGCACCCATGGGTGTCGGAGCTGAGCTGGGCTCCACAGGTTTTTGAGGCTGTGATGGTTCACATGGAGATCACCAGGGAACTTCGAGCTAGATCTGAACTATCAACCTTTCAATTGGCAGCTGAGCTTGTAACTGCTTGTGCCTTCCAAGGACTCCGGCCAATAGCCCCAGCCAGCTCATATTTTAAAAGCACTTTTCACCAGCACAGTGCAGCTGACAAAAAGTCCAATTCAAGGAAAATCTAGAGTTATAAAGTGCATGGCCCAAGCTAGAAAATAAAAACAAAATAAGCAGCAGCCAGGGCCCAACCCACAAAGAATGATTCTTACAAAGCAACACTCAGAACACATTGGCCTTGCGTCACTCCTGAGTGCCTGGTCTTGATGAGGAACATCCACTTGCAGAAAAGACCACCGCTTGACTCCAGGAATCAAGGCATCAATTCTGGCAGCCAAAGCGCCCCCGCAAAGCCGACCAAACTCCCAACCCACTGCCGCCGAGTGGATTCCGACTCAGAGGCACACTACAGCAGAATTCGAGTGCCCCATAGGGCTTCCCAGACTGTGATCCTTATGGGGAGTCCTGGTGTGGCACTGTTGGATCAGCACTGGACTGCTAACTGCAAGGGCAACAGTTCAAACCCACCACCCGCTCCTCACTATGAGTCGAACCAACACAACAGCAGTTAACAACAGCCAGTCGTTACGGATACAGGTCCACACAGCTTTCTCTCTCGGAGTGGCTGTTGGGTTTGAGCCACTGACTTTACAGTTAGCAGCCTGACACTGTGTCACCAGGGGTCCGTGTCCCATCCCAGGTCTTACCTATGTTATACTGAGTTTTCTCATCCAGCAACTTCGAGTACATGTTAATAAAATCGAGGTAGTTCTTGGGAGTGACATAATTGCTGCGCCTGAGTTTCTGCAGAAACTGTTTGCTGAACTCGCCCACAGATTCGTGGACCAAGACAATGTGCTTGACCAGCTCTTCCATGTTCTCCACTGGGATCATCGGGTTGTCCCCTGGAGATGAAGGAGTGACAGAGGCAACTCTTAAGGAAAGAAACAAAGCAGAGGTTGTCATGTGCCAGCGACTTTTCTGAGCCTTGGAAATGGTCCCTGCACTTCAGGAAGGCTGCCGATTTCCCTGGTAGCACAGATAGTGACTTCAGTCTCTCCTGCTGGGAGATGTGTCTACACTGGTGAGTAGGCTGCAGTGGGGGTGGGGGTGGATGGGGGATTTGAGGAGACAAGGTGTTTTGGAAACAGGACATGGTGATGGCTCTTTTTGATCCCACTACAATGTACATGCAGAAACGGGTACCAGAAAAAACTGGACATCATCCTCAGAATCCCTGGGTGGGAAGCATAAATGATTCAAGAGCTCAGCTACTAACCAAAAGGCTGGAGGTGCCAGGCCACCCAAAGGCACCTTGGAAGAAAGGCCTGGCTGTCTCCACTTCTGAAAGCTCAGCCCCATGAGGCAGTTCTACTGCAACACACATGGGGGCACCATGCCTCAGGGTTCACTCAAATCACAACAAACACGTTGTATGTATTTTACTATTAAAACAATTTTCTTTTTAAAAGAGTGTGGCAGGAGGGACTTGAGATTTCAGGAGAGATTGCTGCATCTAACCCTGATGAACAACATCTAGGGACTGGGTGGGGTTGTTCAGGCATACTCAGTGTGTGCCAGGGCTGAACACAGGGTGTTGTTGTTGTTGTCGTCAGGTGCCATCAGGTCGGTGACAACTCATAGCAACCCTGTGCACAACAGGACACAAAGCTGCCTGGTCCCGCGCCTTCCCCTCAATGATGCTCGAACCCAGTGCTGCCGCTGCTTCAAGCCATCCCACTAGGGTCTTCCTCTTTTTCTCTGGCCCTCTAATTTGCCACGCATAATGTCCTTCTCTAGGGACTGGTCCCTTCTGATAACATGTTCAAAGTGTGAGAGAGGAAGTCTCACAGTCCTGACTTCTAAGGAACATTCTAGACAACAAATGCTAGGGTCACATTGCCCCGTTTGTCAGATTGGGAAACACAGTTCCTGCAGAGCAGAATCTATCGTTTTTACTAAAATGAAGGATGGACTAAGCCAAAAACCAATTCATGCAAAATTTGCAGCCCTGAGCCTTAATGGAGTAAAATCCAACCAGCTGACATGGTGTCGAACTGGGCTCCAGAGGGTTCTCAATGGCTGAGTTTTCAGAAGTGGATCATCAGACCCTTCTTCCAAAGTGCCTCTGGGTAGATGCAAAATTCTAACCTTTTGATTAACAGCCAAGCGTGTTAACTGTCTGCACCACAGTCCACAGGCCAGATTCACAGCCTCAAAAACACTGCCTTGAAAGTATCCACACTTTTGGGCACAGTCATCCCAATTCCCTGGACTATATTCTAAGAAAATTCCATGCTGTGTTTTAACACTGAAATCTTCATGGAGCAGACACGTGGTTGGGTTCGAACCGCCTACCTTTCAGTCAACACTCAGCACTTAACATTGCACCACCAGGGCTCCTCAATCTGAGTGCCAACATATGGAAATTGCTAGCACATCTATAAAAACTTGGGTCCGCTCTATCAGAGGTTGGCAGACTGAAGCCCACAGGTCAAATCTGGCCCATCAGCCATTTTTGTAAATAGAGTTTCATTGGCATACAGCCACACCCATGTTTTATGCACGCTCTCTGACTGCTTGCATGATACAAAAGCAGAGCTGAGGAACTACAGTAGAGACCAGATGGCTGCAAAGCCCTCTACAGAAAGACTGTCAACCCCAAGTTACAGCATGAAAGGACCATCATTCTTTCAGCCCTCCTCCCCGAACCATGACATTAGGATTACAGCTAATACGTCTGCATGCACCAAGGTTGTTGTTGTTGTTGTAAGTGCAACTGAGTTGATTCTGACCCACAGTGACCCTGTAATAGGTTTTCCAAGGAGTGGCTATGAGGCACTAGTTATTTTTTATTTACTGAATGAGGTTGACACTACTATGTACCTAACCGGTCACTTGGGGTCATTACGTTTTTGCTTCAGACTGAGGGAAAAAGCTTTTCCCTGAAGAGAAACTGATTTTCTTCCTTTTGTCAGAGACTAACAAGTGGTACTGAGAATGAATGTGCTGAACTGCAATGTCAGTGGTTCAAGCTCACCAGTTGCTCCGTGGAAACCCTATACAGGGTCACTGCGGGGTGGAACCGACTCCACGGCACTTAACAACAACAACATCAGACTGAAATAAAAATCAAGGTCTTGCGGGACTGAAACTCGAGAGACAAATCCAGCACTGACTGAGAACTACTTTATTTCCTTTCAATCAGGAGCCGGCAAACTTTCCCCATAAAGAGGCTAAGAATAAACATCTAGGCTTTGCAGCCCAGTTGGAATTAGTCAGTTGTAGCACATAATTTAAAGTGACAGTTTCCACTTAAAACCAAACGGCCACCACTTGTCTGTCAGTTTGTCATACTGTGGTGGTTTGTGAGTTGCTGTGATTCTGAAAGTTATGCCACTGGTATTTTAAATACCAGCAGGGTCACCCATGGTGGACAGTTTTCAGATGAGCTTCCAGACAAAGACAGACTAGGAAGAAAGAGTGACAAAGTATATCTGAACCTTTAGTCACTGAAAACCTTATGAATAGCAGAAAAACACTGTTAGATACAGGGC